AACACCAGTCTCATTTAAATCGAACTTTTTCTCCTTTGACCACATTACATTTTTCCACTATATTTTAGCTGATGTGATTTCTTGTCCAAGTTAGTCTAGCAGCATTGTTCCTCTCTGTAAATATTTGCTTTTGACATTCTTTTGAATATATCATACAATTGGCAGCTATTAAACTACGTCCCAAACTATCTCCAAAGTTACTCGGGTTTTGCAGAAATATTTTTGAAAACATTCTATTCCTAATTTCCTTTAAATTGCTCGTTTCATACGAGAAGTGAGTTTTTGCGGTTTTCCGATACTGTTTTTAACTGCATATTCCTTGCTTAACGTGATATAATAATTCGTGATCACTCAAATCGATCTTTCTGCTTTTTTAGCGATAGAATTTGTTGACTCATGTGCTTCGCTTAAAACACTTATTTTACCGTTTTCAAACGCCGAATTAACAAAGCCTTACTATGCAGGAGTGAGTTTTCGACTTTTTTCTGTATATCGGCTTTTCGTGTTAACTACAACTTCCTTTCTTTCTCCTGACAACCTGTGTCAGTCTGTTGGGCCTTTATTTCTATATGTCTATGATCGCCTATAAATTTGTTTTTATTTTCCACTTTCGTTCCAATCTACTTTCAGCCGATTTTAATTAACGTAATAACATATTTTATTACACAACAGAAGGTAACAATTGGGTCAGACGGGAAAGAGGGGTCGAACAGGACAAATTCGCGCATCCTATTTCTCGTGATTCTTCGACAGATAAAAACTGATCAAATATCCTACCAAACCAACGATTATTACAATGTTAGGACTTAGGTTACAACCTTAGTCAAAACAGTCTATTAATCATAATAACAAACTGTCAAAACAGATAAAATTATGAGATAAGACGAACCACAACAACGGCCAGAAAGTATCAATAATTCAGACGAATTGTCCAGTTCTTGACAGCTCGTATCCACCGAATCAGGACACGGCTCTAGCTTTTTTCTCATGCACAAGGGAGAATCAAAGGGGCTCGAACACGAGTCTCGGGGCGGACATACTACCGGTAAGAGCATAGACGAAGCTACACCCGACAGCTCCTGGACGGGACCACCGATTCTCGACTAGATCCACGATCATCTCCATGACGTCAATTGAATAAAATCAATAAACATCGAGTTATCTTCACGAGGTATCATACTTAGAATTGTACTTCTATTTGTAAACTCTCTCTCTCTCTGTCAGTTAGCCTATAAGGACGTAGATATAAGGCTTTAATGTCTATCCGATACAGTAGTACGGACTGCATAGAAATAACACCGGTACATAGAAATAGTCCCAAACAATATGTTACCTACGAAATGTAGAATAACATGTAGTGTATTAGATTACTGTATCACATGCTTTTGTGTTAAGTTTATTAATTTAAATTGTTATTTTTGTTGGTTAACCTGCTCTCGTGTGGACTTATTAGGCGCCAACACCCTATCAACAGATTTATCACCTTTCAGTCACTCAGGCTAACCAACCAGTGATAAAGTGAGTGGTCTTCACCAGACCATCGCCGATTCAAGGGGCTTTAAATTGGTATTCATTGACCCCCGGTTTCTCAATCTTCTAAATTAATTATGTTAGAAACAATTTTTTCTTTTCAGTCGTTTATCACGTCAATCCACTTATAAATTAGAATAAATTTTTTAATACATTGTTCATAAATAGAATATGAATACCATTAAAATTTTATTTTAATTGAAAGAATAAATTTAATTTTTTAAAAAACTTTCGAAAGATATTTACTGAATAACATAATAGTTATACAATATGCACACAATAGGTATAAATTTGACTTACCAAAGATGTGAAACGAGATAGTTGAAAAGATAGACCCATAGTTGCGAGAACAAGAGTTATCAAAGTAATAGAAACTGCAAGACGCATTACACCATCCAGATTAAAAAAAACAACTGCGCAGAAAAAGAAACTTGTCTGATACACTCCGCAACAATAAACGGCAGGAGTGTAAATTTCACAAACTAAGTTTAGTTCTTGTATATAAGTCCACAAATCCCAATGACTTTCAATTAAGCTTTCGATTTTATTCTTTAGGAAACTTTTGTCTTTTTTCAATTCATCGACTGCATCAGATAAAATCTTGAATCTCTTCGAGATAATGACTGCCCATGCACCTATAACAAGTATACAGAAATCTATTTGTCCAATTCCATAAATAGATAATAATGAGACATTCAGGCTACAGAGTGCTAGTTCAAACTCGGAATTACTTATTTCCTTTAAAGCAGGATACAGAAATAAGTCAATTATAATAACAAATGGAAATATTGAAAAAAAGAAAACTGTAAGGTTAGCAATAAAAAGTATTTGAATATCATCAGCCATTTTTTCTTCTCCTTCGTATCCGCTGTTGTTTCTAGGAAAGTAAAGCCTCTTCCTTTTAAAGAAACTGAATTGAAATGCTACGAAAATACCAAATGTACCTAAAATAAATTTTATAAGTATCTTGTTGTTTGGGAACATTCTGATCCATCCGACACACACGGAACTGTCCATTATTTCTTGGGTAGCAAGTATTATGTTAGTCCAGATAAATATCTCTAAAGCAGTTTGGTACAAAGAATATAACTTTGACAGATATTTCCATTTTTTGGCAGGCTTCTTGCAATTGCAATACATCATTTTAATTCCAAATATCTCTAACGTTGAGAGGATTGGGCATAGAAAACAAACAATGCACAAACTACGTTTAGTGTAACCTGTGTACATGTTTTAATCCTAGATATGAAGAATTGTAGACTTGGAATTAGTTTTGGAACCAGATAAACCAAATGCAGCTTTTCTTAAATAAGAAAATATTTTGAATAGGATATTACGTAAAGGATTGATTATTTGATGTATAGTAATCACGTGAGCGAAACTGCACTAGTAGCCTTCAATAGTAAATGTATAATGTCAATACATTAAAAGCATCCGATTTCGTTTTCATAATATAGAATTTTCCAGCGAAATATTCTGATTATTTATAGAAAATATATTTCTTTTTGACCATACATACATACATAGATGAGTCTGTCTATTTTCTGTCCCTTCACACGCTGTACGAGGCAATAACAAATTCCACCGGCGAAGTCGAACTTTCTACGTAGGCTACCATTCGCCGTAAAATGTGAAATACTGTAGTTAAAAACATCCTCTAGCGGTAGCATAGCAAAATTAATAATTACATTTGGTAAAAAATAAAAATAGGTAGGCGAATAGTAGCCTACATATAAAGGTCGACTTCGCTGGTGGAATTTGTTATTGCCTCGTATAACGTGTAAAGGGACAGAAAATAGACAAATGTATGGTCGAAAAGAAATATATTTTCTACAAATATCATAATTGTCCTGGAAATTTTTTATTTGTTATTCTGATTATTCTTCGTTTGACATTTCGCTTGATACTAGAGTATTGAGTCAAAAGAATAAATTAAACTGTTTTAGTATTTCAAATTCAGTTTTATGTGAAATTGTATTTTCTTTTTATACAAATTTATTTTATTGTATTATACACAACTTTAATTAAAATTTCAGTCTTTAAGATTAATTTTAATCGCTTCATAAGGATACGTTTTACGTGGCAACGTCCAGCGACCGCGAATAGAAAGAATCTTTGTATGCGGGAGCTTCTTCTGTCCAGAGTGGACGAGTGTTGTTTACAAAATGGCATCGAGACGACTTCATCGAATGCTTGCTACGGAAAATATTAGAAGCATTTTACCGCTTTAATGCCAATTAGAACGGAGTTTTAGAATGTCCTGGAATCCTGGAGGAAAATTTGAATTTCAAAATACCGTTCTGATCTTGAACAAGTTTTTTGAATTTTGCTCAAGTTAGGAAAAAATTGTAAAAATAAATTAAATTATCGTTAACTTTTGTAAATAGTTCACATCTACCATTCATTCTTACACTCAACTTCTATGTAATATTGCTTTTTCGTTAAACAAAAACGAAGCTTCGTTCACGTACGTAAAATGTTTCGTTTAATTGATCGCCGCCATCTTCTTCTTTTATGTAAAACAATTCATGTCTCCGATTGTGCGAATATTTTTCTCTGGTTAAAATGCTCAACACGTTGAAATGCTAGCGCCATTCGCGAAAGAAAAATGTGCTGGAAACGAAGTAATCGCTGATGCAATATTTGCCCTGGTTTTTGCCAGTGATTTGTTCTCTGTGTGAACTAAGCTTATCAGAACCTTTAAGCTGGCGATTTATAAAAAAGTTTTTCCGTAATTTCAGTTATTGTCAGGTGAAATTTGTAGAATGTCGTTTTATTTGGATGATATTAAAAAACTATTTTTTTCAGATCAAATTTTTGTAGAGACAGCGAAGCAGGGACTAATTTGGTACAAGGCTGGAAAGGCACTTGCTTGGAGCCCGTAATAGTTTCTAAATGTGTCATTGTTTTATTAGTATTACGAATTTCTATATTATTAACGCGCCATATTCAAGGGTTAAAAATTAAGAATGACATTACCTACAGCCCTGACATCTAACATCATCACTGAGACATAAATAAAGTTTGTATGTGTGCATTAGATCCGTTCGGTAATGATAGGAATAAAGTGGTGTTTGATGATAAAAATATAATGAATATAATGTTTATTGCTACATAATTTTATTGTAGCTCCAAAAATACAATGTAAGATATTCAAATGTAAAAAATATTCTCGTAACAACTGAATTAACAATTTTGTAGAACAAATTATATTGTTATGTAGTTTCTCATAATTGGGTGATGCGATCAGATGGCAACTGTAAAACTTCGACATCATTCCGTAGGTAATTTTTTGTCAGGGTCCTGAGTTTGACTAGGTGTATTGGATATATTATAACTTATTTTTGCAGTTATAGTTTTTCTTTTTTTGAAGTAGGGGAGAGCGGGGCTAAAAGTTCCCGTGGTAAGTTGTTCCGATTGAAATAGCTTCATAAGGAAAAATAATAATAATAATTAGTAAATACGTCATGAAATCGAATGTTTCTGCGCATCGATGGCAGCCATATTAGTTAGACCAGTAACGTCCAGTATATTGGAAAAGGAGCCTGTACGTCGCTGATCCACGTAAGTAAATATTTTCGTGTTTGATATTTTTGGTATATCTGGCGAATTTAAATAATTAGCGATTAGTTGTTTGGTATTTTTATTCAAAAATATATATGGTATCTTGATATAAACGCTAAAACCGTGTATGTCTCGTAACCTAATCTAGTAGTTGCTGTTTTGAACCCATGTGTTATTGGGGCTAGATGTTCCCTTCTTTGGGGGTATGTTGTGACCTTGGAACAACTTGCCCCAGTTCATCTGTACTGGCAATGCAGTAAAAATACAGTAATATTTTTTTTCTTTGCAGTATGCGGACTTATATTCGAAAAACAACACGAGGTTCTGTATCTCAGGAGTTGATGCAAAGAGCTGCAGATGCAGTTATTAAAGATGGTAAAAAAATAAAAACTGTTGCCAGAGAATTAGATATTTGTCATATGACGTTATACAGATTTGTGAAGAAGTTGAAATCTGGAGTAGAAAACGCTGTGGTTGGCTACAAAAAAGTAAGATTGGTCTTTAGTGAAGAACAGGAAAACAAGTTAGCAGAATATTTGTTAAAATGTGCAACAATTTTCTTTGGTCTTCTACCAGAGGAAGTGCGAAAATTAGCATATGAATGTGCACAGAAATTCAACGCCTCTGATATTCCACCATCTTGGCATGAGAATAAAAAAGCTGGTCCAGATTGGCTGACTGGTTTTTTAAAGAGAAACCCTCAACTCTCGATTAGAGCCCCGGAATCGACAAGTGCTAGCAGAGCATCATCTTTTAATAAGCACAATATTAACGAATTTTTTACAAAGCTAGGCACAGTGTTGGATAAATATAAATTTCCGCCCTCGAGAATATATAATTTAGATGAAACTGGCGTTACGACAGTGCTAAAGCCAAAGAAAATTATTGCCAAAAAAGGAACTAAGCAAGTTGGAGCTATAGTATCTGCAGAACGAGGTTCATTAGTCACCGTAGAACTGGCAGCAAATGCATTAGGACACACAGTTCCTCCAATGTTTATTTTCCCTCGACTTAAATACAAGGATTTGTTTATCAAAGGCGGACCACCGGAATCCATTGGTGCAGGAAATAGCTCTGGATGGATGACAGCTACGGAGTTCCTCATATATATAGATCACTTCATCAAACACTCCAGACCATCACCTTCAGATCCAGTTTTGTTATTGCTTGATAATCACCAATCTCACGTCGATATCAATGTGGTAGAAAAAGCGAAATCTAACTCCATTGTAATGCTGTCATTCCCGCCTCATTGTACACACCGTCTGCAACCATTGGACGTTGGAGTGAATGCACCGTTTAAAAATTATTGTGCAAAGGCTCAAGACAACTGGCTACGCAGCAACCCTGGCAAGACAATGTCAATATATGAGATCCCTGAAATCGTAAAATATGCGTTGCCAATTGCAGCAACTCCTATCAATATAATGAGCTCTTTTAAAAAGGCTGGCATTTGGCCATATGATCCTAATATTTTCACTGAAGACGACTTTGCTCCATCTTTCGTCACAGATCGCCCTTTGGCTCCAACGCATGAGAGTGTCTCTGCAGGCATCACACCTATAAATGATATTGATATAATTGATATGGAAGTTTCAGAGGCAGAAACTAGTATAGATAAATCCAACAATGCACGTGAAACTGTAAGCATTATTGACGAAAGACAAATCTTGGATCAACCAGGGCCATCAGGAGTTGTAAATTTGTCTACAACTTCTGGTGTTGTACAAGGACTTGGAAAGGATGTTCCTTTCTCCCCAGAAGCAATTCGTCCCTTTCCAAAGGCACCACCACGGAGTGGAACGACCAAGAGATGTCGTAGAAAATCCGCAATTTTAACAGACACTCCTGAGAAACAAGCCCTGGCAGAAGAGCAAAGCAAAAAAAGGAAGGTAAGCATTGATAATGAAGAAGTAAGAAAAAATAAAGGAAAGGGAAGGGTAAAGAGAAATCAAGGGAATAAAATAAAAGGGAACGACAAGAGAACGCTAAAAGGAAAAGGAAAGAGGAAGTCCATTAAACGACAGGTTGTACAAATGAGCAGTGAAAGTTCTGAGAATGAAGAGGATAGTTTAGAGTATTATTGTTTAGTCTGCTGTGACCGTTACTCTAACTCACGTTCTGGTGAAGAATGGATCCAGTGTCAAGAATGTAAGAACTGGGCCCATTCCAGATGTAGAAAATATCGTGACATGTTAACATACTTTTGTCCGAATTGCGGTTCTGATGAATCTTGTGATGATTTATAAATATAATATTATTTTCAGTCAAAGACGACTTTCTGATATGATTGAAGACTGATAATTGATAATTTCAAGGCTGATTAGCTACTTAAGCTAATATAATGGTTAATGTTTCAATCTTTAAGTAAAAATTATAAATGTTAAAATGTAAAAATGTTTAGTTTATAATAAATTTAAGAAAAACAACTAATTATTCATAAGATATTATTGATTAGTCCTTAAATACGTACTTAGCTAAATAAATTATTTTTTTTTTTACATATTACACCTTCCATAGATCTCGTAACAACTTGCCCCACCCTGTTAACAACTAGCCCCGAATCGGGGTAAGTTGTTACTTTCTGACTTTAGGTATTGTATTATTAATTATAAAAAATCTTACCAAAAAACAACCCCAAAAACTGTCTTAATAGCAAAGTTAGATATATTAGTAAATTTTGATATCTCAATACTTATGCTAGAATTAAGTTTCATTAACAAATTATGAGGTTGAATAAAAAACGAAACTTGTAGCCCCGCTCTCCCCTACATGTTTAGCATGTTTCTATTTAATTAACATATATTATACGTAAGTAATTTTAATATTTATTATTATATCTGTGTGTCCTGTGAAAACTGGTATAACTCGACTTATATCACTTTTACGTTTATTGGTGCATTTTAATTAGTTTTCAAATGGCTACATTTCTGTGCTTATAACAACTTATATTCCTTTTACTTTTGACATGAATGTATAAAATGAACTTGTTTGTTTTCTGAGTCATGTCGTTCCATTAAAATTGGTATTGGTAAAGTACAGTAACTACATGACAATTTTACCTTAAAAAATTTTGCATTTTCTAAAGTTTTACATTTTATATTTAATTTATTGTTAAACTGTTAAACTTGTATAAATATCATTTTTAATTGAATGACACAACTCAATTTGTTAAAAAGTGTATTAAATATATAACTTTTTTACGTGTAAATAATAATGTATTTGCAATTTCTGGGCGCCATATAGCTTATTCATTGCTATCTATCTTGTTGAAACTTCTAGCAACAAAGAAACCTTGTGAAATTAATATTAAAAATATAGTACGAACTTGATTTATTACGTCGAGGGTTTTTCCGTCCACTCTTTTCGCTCTGTGGGCACTAAGAGGGCCTCTTTTTACAAGCCCATTATGGGTTCGGCCAGGCCCTCAATGGGCGGCCGGGTGGTGAGGAACGGGGCAAGCCAGACATATCCGAAGAGAATACTCCCCGAAAAATTCCTGAGGATTCATCGACCCGTCGGGATTCGAACCCGGTGCACCCTTGATTGTCACCTTGACTGTTCGGCCATCCGGCCCTCTACGTCAAGGGTTGCAAACGTTTGGTCTTCGCGATCGATTTTAAATAGAGAATATTTTTGCAATCTATCGTAGTAAAGAATGTGACAATTGGACAAATAAATAAAGAAATAAATCTTATAAAAATTAAATTTGTTATATTTATTAGAAAATAATTCTTCCAAATTTCAAAAAAAAAGTCATTACATAATTTTTTATCGTGAAAGTAATGCCTAACACTGTTTATAAAACTTGAGATAACATACAGAAACGACCTACCAATGGCTGTTTTATACAGTAGACCCCTATAACGCGGGTTCATATAATGCGGATTCGTATATCGCGGCGAAAAAATTGCGACCGTATTCGTATAAAGACGCTAAAAGAGACTCGTAAAATGTGGTAAATCGTCATCGGCGGCTCGTGTCGCGACAGGATTGGTCGAATCTGGACCAATAGTGGACGAGCAGCCGAACTACTTACACGCTATGGAGAGTTTAGGCGGGTAAGTAGAGTTTACTATCGTCTGTACAGTATATAGGCCTAAATTAGGTACTGTAAATCTAATACAGTACTGTAATTTTATACATTTCTTGTGAAAAAAACATTTCTTATTCAACGGCCATAAAAATTATTTCTATAAATGATGTCTCCAAAGTTCAACGAATTTTTCGCAGAAAAATAACTTATCAGAAAACGCGACCGCCGTTTGGTGCGCTGCTCTGCGACGAAAACAAGCTTAAGCAATGGTGTGGTCGAACAGTGCACACTCGGTAAATAATCCTACAATTTTTTGTTTATAGCATAGTATATACAGATTATTCCCAAAAAATTATACGTGTTTTGGAAATGTTGAGTGAAATTAGTCAAGAATCGATTAATTTTATGGAAGAAAACCTTTCAAACAGCCGTAGTCCGTAAACTGCACACGCCGGGCTGTGATTGGCTCATGTATTTGAAGATTCCTACAACGCGAAATTCTTATAAAGCGGAACGTATCTACCGTGTTATAGGGGGTCGACTGTATATTCTTTCCCGAAAGACGTGCTTTCTTTCGGGAAACACAATCGAAAACAAAGGAGAGTTTAGAAGTTATAAGCTTTCAAAAATAACCTCAAAGATATCATTTTAATTTAATATTAATAAGTTAATAATAATATTAAGTATTATTATTAATATTGATAATATTTAGTAAAATCTTATAATTATTGACTAATTCAAGAAACTCATTTTGCACGTATTTACAGTAGAATGATGCAAACAAAAATGCAGGTATTCAGAATGATGCAAACACAAAAGTAGAAAAACAATTATCTTCGCATTTTTTTATTCGCTCTGTTTCCTATAGTTAGCTTCGTAATATATTACAAGCACTATTTCCAAATATTCAATAGAAAAGTTGCAACATTTGTCATTGAGAATTAATTTATACCCAGAGAAAAAGCGTTTCACATCTGAAGATAACGGACAATATTTCAACCTTGGAAGAGGAGGAACTGGGAATTTACTTTCAGTTGTGCTCTTCTTTCCTGCTAAAATATCAGCCACAACAAATGAGCACTTTAACACCCGATCACTCGCCAAGCTACTGCAGCCAATATTCTGAGTATGACTGTTGTCAAACTTTGTGGAGTGGTTGGCGAAAATGCATGTATGGAAAGATAAGCATGCAGCTTAGGACGAGGTGGCCGAGCGGTTAAGGCGATGGACTGCTAATCCATTGGGTTATACCCGCGTGGGTTCGAATCCCACCCCCGTCGATTATATACCTTTTGCTCGCGTCATTTTTTTAAGATTGAGTTTACGAGGACGGCGAAACTGTTTCGAACGCACGCAGATAAATAACATTGTAATATTTTTCTTACTTAACAACTTTTTGAAATTCGCTCGCGATTATTTACACATTCGTTAACGATTAGCCATATTTATGTGTTTTAAAAATCTTTCAACGAAGTAGGAATCCCGTATTTAAAAACAAACAAGTCTCTCTAGCCATATAATCGGGGGTCGTCTCTTATAAGACTGGCTTTGGTTACTTAGTGACCTCTCTCCTGTCTTCTTCGGATTGGTCGTCTTCTATAAGACCGACTCTTCCTCACTGTTTCTTCTGGAGTGACAAGCGAATAGCAATAACACTCCTCTATCGGAAATGGAAAATGGAAATGGAAATAGCCATATAATCCTTGTTAAAACCATCCGATTAAAACATTTATTTTTAAAATCACAAATGTCCATCTTTTTGACAGTATACTTTTTATTCACAGTATATTTACATAGTATACTTATCAGTATATTTTTTATTCACGCGCGAAATTCTTGTCGATTTTATTAACAATTATCAAATATTCTCACCAAATGATGTATTCCCTTATTTAAATTTATTGTTTCAAAGTATTTATTAATTTTATATATTTTTTAAACTTACGTTTAAGCATATTTTAATCGTATCCGTCATTGGTTCGGCCAAGCTCACAAAAGGAATAGGGAATAGAATTGATTTATCCGGGACCGACGTCCCATGAAAAATTCTTGGAGTACAAATCGCCCAGAATCCCGATTCGGTTAACGATTAAAATATTTCGCATTTTGTAAAATATTTTTGAATAAATTTCATTTGTTATAGAGAATGACTTTTAAAAGTATTTCTAAATGTCATTTGGAACTATCGATGTTTTCAGACATTCTAATTTATTTTCATATAAATGTGAAATCTTTGTACGGTAACAAAGATTGTTAACAATGGACAAAATGTTGTTTTATGTAACAAAGTATTTGCGATTATTGCAAACAAAACTATTGTTAATTCAGGAGATTCTCAACGAAGTAAAAAGTAAGACGTTTTAAAAATATTTTATTTATTTTTATTATGTTCCTCCAGTATTTCTATAGATATTTCTTCTTAATTCTTAATATAATGATTAAATCGAACATATTCTAATGTAAATTATAATATATATTCGATAGAAAGTCAAGGAAATTCAGTAAAAAGAGTTTCTACGAAACAAGTTTAATTTGTTTGGTCCAAAAACTATAAATCTTTACATTCAACTGATAAATAATTTTTTATTTGGCCCTTACCGACTTTTAGAAGGGACTTTTCAAAGAAATCTATCATGTGTTCCATTGAATGGTAAGGGGCGGGATCGAACATATCCGAGACTGACCAACTGCCTTTAAAAACTCATGGAGGGTTCGCCAATTTTCGATTCCGGGTTTCTCAACGCTGTAGTCAGTGAGCTACTGCGTTGAGGAACCCGAATTGATACGTAGTTGTAGCGATAGGCTTTATCTGCATATCAGTGAGTTATTTCTTGTAATATTTCATAAAATAATTACTTTAAAAGTTGAAAGTTTTAAGTTCGATAGAATTAACCAAACTAATCTTAATAGTTGATATAAAATATCGTGTTATTGAATTGGATTAGTAGAATGCAACAGATGGGTATTTCCGAAACGTGAGTGCCTGCCTAGAAGGTTTTCTACGGAAAAGTAGTTTGTATTTATGTCAGAAAATTCCACTTGTTTAGTCTGTTGATCAGGAACGAACCTACGAACAACTATTAGTGTTCAGTGGTCAGCGCTAATTGGTTTTATCCACTAGGTCATTATGAACTTTTGTATTAACTAAGAGTATTGGCTAATGTTGAATATAAATAATATTTCCAGTTTTATCTTAATTTTTTCGATAAGATT